GGTTCTTTTTGGGGGGAGATGAAAATTCCAGGAAGATGGATTGGATAGCTTGGGATAAGGTTCTTGCAGATAAAGAAAAAGGGGGGGCTTGGAATTGGTAGCTTAAAGGCACAAAATATTGCTTTAATGAGCAAATGGTGGTGGAGATTTAGAAATTATCCTAAGAACTCTATGGCAGAGGTGATTAAATCTATATATGGAGAGGATGGGGGCTTCTCTAGACCTTCAATCGCTAAGAGAAAGAATGGTTCTTGAGATCAATTACAAATATTCCAAAAATTTTAGAGAAGGAGAATGTGACTTTTTTCATACCACTTTCAGTTGTCATCCAATTCTAATGGGGTGTTTAAATGGACCTGGTCTCTTGACCCTTCAGGGGCCTACTCGGTCGCTTCTCTCAGAAGTCATATTGATAACTCATCTCTCCTTTTAAGTGATGGCAGATGGTCCTGGAATCCGCTTATCCCAGGAAATCCGAATATCCTAGCAAGGCGAATCAGTCATGGGAAACTTCCCTCCATGGTAAACCTTTCAAAATTCGGAATCATTTTTTCTAATTTATGCAAGATCTGTAATGGGGCCCTAGAAATAGAGGATCATATCTTTGTGGATTTCCCGGTGTCACATGAAGTTTGGCAGAAGGTGTGCATATTTGGTGGCGGCTATAGGATTATCCGCTCAATTCAATTCAGTACAGTGCAAGAAAAAAAATTGAGGGTCATCAAAGTCTTTTAATTACTCATGAAGCTATTATGTTAGTTTTTATCTGGATGATTGGAAATATAGAAACTTCAAGGACCATGCTTCAAATCCAAAATCCAAATCTCATTATGCATTGGCTGTCGAGGTACAATCTCTCTCAATCCTTTGGATCAATGTTAGCAAACGAAAATGGCAAAATGTGAGATGGATGGAATGGTGTTGTGATCCAGTTATAGAATGTTATAGCAGACTTTAGTTGTCTTGTCTTTGGTTTTCTTTGTTTTTGTGTTTGTTTTCCTCGTTCTGTTCTCTCTTTTCTGTTCTATTCCTCTAGCCGCTGGCTAGTTTTGTTTCTTTTAATGTCAGCTGCCGTTCAAAAAAAATGAAGAAAGAATAAAATAAAAGCAAAAGGAACATAAAGATAGTAAAAATAATAAATTATGAAGGAGACCTTCTCTTATCTAAATATATGCTCTTAGAATACCTTTTTGTAAGATCTTTATAGACAATCTATTTTATTAATACTTTCACTTTGATGATAAAATATTAATTTTTGAACACACGCTAAACCACAGTATAAATAACACTAATCTTATATCTTACAAGTATTCGTTAAAATATGTATGGGTGAGTAGCAGAACATGGTATCCCCTTTCATATTCATAATCGTTTCGGAACCGCTAGTTCTGGAATTGAAAATTCCTTCGATACTTCCGGTTCTCATTTTTTCAGAACCGCTACAGTCGAGTATCTGTCGAAACCGATATATATATATATATATATATATATATATATATATATATATATATATATATATATACATATATATATATATATATATATATATATAGGATTGGTTCAGCACATAACCAAATAACATCACCTAACCACATTACCATGAGACTAGATTTAAGGAAAAAATGTACGATGGTCAAAAACACGTAAAAAAACTAACTAAAATAAGACGCTACAACATAGTCATTTTTCATTTTTGTTTCAATCCATGTTCATAAATGAATATATGTTCATAAATTCATAAATGAACATATGTACATAAATGAACATATATTAATATTACAGTAACTTTATATTTAAAACTCATGAAAATATAATAGATTTACATTAATAATTATAATTTATACATGGGAAAATAGAGAAAAACTCATACAATAATATAAATACATGTTCATATATGAATATATGTTCATATATGAACATATGTTCATATATGAACATCAAGATAGTAAAGTCTTCTTTTTACTCCACTCATGCCAATCTTCCTCTTCTTGGTAATTTTTTGAATCATAGAGCAGATTCATCGCAACCATTGAACAACCGCACGACATCCCTTCCGTTTTAGCAATTCCAAGACGACATAAACCATTAAGTCCAAGCTTCCAACTTTTAGATCTGGATCCAAATTATGTCTTAATGGATAAAGTTTCCAATTGGATCCATTCAAACACCCCAAAGTAACTAGATCTAAAACCCTAGTTTCTTAAAAGTCCAAGATCCCATTTTCTTCATGCTTGGAGTAAAGAGAGCTTATGCATGTTCTCTAAACTCGAACAAAAGGTCAAATCTAATGTCTAATATGAATGTAAGATCATGGAGTTGTCCAAACTCCCAAGATCAAACCATAAAAAGGACCAAAACACGAAAATATGGATCAAAACACCATTATCTCATAAATCCAAAGATGAAATACAATAAAGCAAGGATCTTTGCTACTCACATGGGTCCAAAAGGTAGGTGACTATTGAAATCTTCTGTTACAAAGCCCCAAAAACTCAATCGTTCTTGTTTACAACGTTCTAAAGCATCAAAGATCACGAAATGAGCACCGACATGGATTTTAGGAAAGAGTAGAGCTTAAAACCATTCAATGAAGGCTAGAGTTTCATAAGGGCTGTTAAAGAGGTGATAGAGGCCGAGAATGAAAAAAATCCTAGAGGTTAAAGGTCTTTAAATACCCAACAAACCCTAAAACCATGATCAACCCACTTGTCCTGAATGCATTCTTTGTAAGAACTTTGATTATAAATATCAATCAAAAAAATTTTGATCAAGCCATTAGGTGAAAGGGAAATATCTATGCTGATGTAGAAAAATTTTCTTTTTTGGAGTGGTGAAGTTACGTTAAATTTGATATTTAATATAAATTTTACTTGAGTCCATCAATAGTTTGAACTAATTTTTTTTAGTGTTGCTCTTGATATATTATTTTAATTTTTGTATCCAACAAGGTAGTAGAAGTATATATTATATATATATATATATATATATATATATATATATATCTATATATATATATATATATATATATATATATATATATATATATATATATCCAGAATTAGTGGATATTTATTAAGTTTAGTCTTCGAAAGGCCTTTTTCTCTTCCGCCCTTGGACCCGAAATATGTTTGGAACAACCTTGGTCAGGTCTCCGCATTTAGGTCATCAATCTAAAATGACCGGTTTACCCTTATGTAAATGTTTTTTATTTTTATCTTAAACAAAACTAAAAATATTAAATAGAATATGGATCCCCCACACCACCCTCACCCATCCACCTACCTTTCTTCTTTCTTCTACCCATATCGCCCCTTCAGTTTTTCGTTGAGTCTCTGGGAAGAAATTCGTTTCCTTTGGACTTGTTGGCAACCGCCATCGTCGTGCTTTTTCTCTCATTCTCACTCCATTGTTTGACATCGATTTGTTGATAAAGTTTTAAGATAATAATGCTAGCTTAAATAAGACACAATTGAAAAATCAAAACTTGTTTAACGATGGACCACTAAACCTTAAACACCACTAGATTATCAAAAATATTAAGCAAATAAGAATATCAAAAGCCCAAATCAAACACCATAAACATGCTAAGAAGATCAAAAACCATTTTAGTCAAACATCGATCGATTTGAAATACAGATCTGGAACTTTGGATTTCGATCTAGTAGGATCTTGTCGTTCAACAATTTTGTGCATCTTCAACCCACCAATGAAGAATTAAATCTCTTGATGATGAAGGTTTAAACCTCAAATGGTAGTGAGTTTGAGTTGCATTATTCCATATCGATGAGGGTTTCAAGAAAGTGTAGGAGCGATGCAATTGGTGGGGTGTGTGGGGAAGGTGGCAGAGTTACAATTGGTCATGTAAAACCAAATTCCCATTCAAGACGTCAAAGATGGTTACTGTAACATCCCAAAAATACAACTCGAAAATTTCATTTTTAGGTTAACCCAATCACAAACATAAAAAACATCATTGGTTCCAAGATCATAAAAACATAAAATAGTTATGGTGTACAATTAAGACAATTCGTAGAAAAACATTATCAGAGCATAAGTCCCAAAATCCCTACTGTGGAAAATCATAGTGTGATGCGTCGCGATCAAGCCGGCCCCTTCCCCTTTGAGCTGGAAGTACCTGAAACACAAACTAAAACAGTAAGCACAAAGCTTAGCGAGTTTCCCCCACCATATCACATATAATACAAACATATTGCCAGGCATATCTGGGTGCCCGAACTACCCTACCGAGCATATCTGGGTGCTCGACCTACCCTGTCAGGCATATCTGGGTGCCCGACCTACCCTGCCATGCATATATGGGTGCTCGACCTACCCTCCAGTTTATTTCAACCGGTTACGGGGTCTATTTCGCCCCTACCACTACCATGTAATAACATACATAAATCACATAACCGTCAAGCAAATTCAAATTCAGCACTGAAGAAGGAATGATGAATGTGTTACAAAGTGATCACTGGATGATTAAGGAAGTCCCAATTTTCATTCAAAGTTGGCAACCGGTTACTTGTCTAACAAGGGACCTGAATACCAAAGCTGGAGTTAATCACTCGTTACAATTAGAATACTTGTGGGTGCCAACAAGATGCGACAAATGCAAAGTTTATGACCATTCCAAATGCACATGCCCACTACAAATCATGGAGAATCCTATTGCTACACCTGCCACAGAAAAGATTCCCACTCCCATCTTTGCTGCTAATGTTGACATGGATGGCTTCACCATGGTCACTAAACGAAAAAGAAACATGAATATAACAAGAGGAAGAAGTAGAGGACCATAAAAATCTGTGAACCCCAATCCCAAGCCTAAACCAAACTTTCAACAAACTCAAACAACCAAAGAAGATGATACTCAACACATAGCCTCCAATTTTGTGAATAATGCTGAGAAGGAAAAAGATCAAAGTGTCAATCAAGATAAGTTAGTGGCATTTGAAGAGGGCACAAATGGTTTCAAAGTAGTAAATAATGTTACGTATATGGATGAAATGAATACTGAACCCAATGAGAATGAAGTGGAAGTTAAAGTTTCCGAACATGATAGTGACATGGTGGAGACGCTCCATACTAAAAACAGATTCGCTTCTCTTGTATCTGAAGATGATAACGAGATTCAAGGGTCGGTAGCGACTGAACACCGTCTGGAAAAAAAAGAGTTGAACACACACAAAGGGTAAATAATGAGGCAACCATGGAGAATGTTGCCAAAAACAACCCAGTTTCCCAATGATGAAATCAATGGTATGGAATGTTAGAGGTTTGTGCAACTCCTCTACTCAAAAAGAAGTGGTGTCAATGTTGGATAGAAATGGGGTCTCGATTTGTGCTCTCTTGGAAACAAGAATTCATATTTCTCGTATAAACAAAATCTATAAGGGTATAAAAAGAAGTTGGCAATGGTACTCGAATGCTAGCTTGTGTAGTTGAGGTACTAGAATTGCTATTGGCTGGGATCCAGGGGCTTGGGAAGTTTTTGTTATACATAGCTATGATCAAGTCGTGCATTTTAGAGTTCATTCTAAAAGATCTAATCACACCTTCTTCATATCTTTTGTTTATGCTGATAATGACTACAGAGATAGAAGAAAACTTTGGGACTATTTGTGTATTCATCACTCCCTTGTCAAAGATGAACCATGGTTAATTGTTGGTGACTTTAACCAAATTCTTAAGACGAGTGAATCCACTAGATCAAGCTCCTTTGATAGTTTTATGACTGAGTTCTAGAGATGTATTCATGATATCAATCTAGTTGATATAAACGCCACAGGTCTCTACTACAGCTGGAACCAGAAACCTCGTGGGATCGGTGGGCTCCTAAGGAAACTTGATAGAACTATGGGTAACACCAATATCTTATCTATGTTTCCCAGACTTCATGTTATGTACAAACCATATGGCATTTTAGACCACTCTCCTTCTCTTATAAGTTTCCCTATTGGCAAACCGAAAAAGTCTTATCATTTCAAGTTTGTTAATAACATTACCAATCATCCCCATTTTCATGATACTGTTCAATTGATTTGGGATAATAGGGTTGAAGGTCACGCCATGTACTCAGTTTTTCAAAAACTAAAGAAACTCAAACCCCCCATACGTAAGCTTGGTCAACAATTGGGAAACCCATCTCACAAGGTGGAAGCTTTGAGAATCGAGCTTGAAAGAGCCCAAGAACAACTAGATCGGGATCCAGATAATGAAGAGATTAGTGTTGAACATGCGGTGTACCTGGAAGAATTCACCAAAGCCTTATGTGAAGAAGAATGCCTCCTAAGACAAAAAGAGAAGCTTTATTGGCTCAAAGAAGGAGACAGGAATACCAAATATTACCATAAAGTCATTAAAGAAAGACAAAACAGAAATAAAATTAACTCCATCATTGATGGAGACAGTGTGGAGCATGGGGCTGATAAGATCCCTGATATTGTCATTGCTCACTTCTCTGACTTCCCTGGGAAGGCTAGAGTTGTTGATCCTGTAGTCTCTCCTAATGACCTTTTCAGCAATACCTTAACGAATGAGGATGCAAACTGGATGGTTAGACCAATTGAAGATGAGGAAATCAAACATGCCATATTCGATATTGGGAATGATAAAGCACCAGGACCTGATGGGTTCACTTCTACCTTCTTTAAAAAGGCATGGCACATAGTGGGGATAGAAGTGTGCAAAGCAGTCAAAGAATTTTTTCTCAATGGACAACTTTTACAAGCTGTTAATCATACGATCTTGGCCCTGCTCCCAAATGTGGAAGTCCCTAATACTATGAAGGACTTTTGCCCTATATCTTGTTGCAATGTCATCTATAAATGCATTAAAAAGACCATCGTGACCAGGATGGCCCCTTCTCTTCACAAGTTGGTTGATATGAACCAATCAACCTTTATTACGGGAAGAGCTATCACTGATAACATTCTTCTTTCACAGGAATTGATGCAAGGTTACACTCGTAAACATCGCAGCCCCAGATGTGCTCTAAAAGTTGATATCCAAAAAGTGTATGATACAGTGAACTGGAATTTTTTGGAACAAATTCTATGGGGTTTTGGCTTTCACCATAGAATGATTCAATGGATAATGAAGTGTGTTTCGACCACTTCTTTCTCTATTAGAATTAATGGAGAAAATAAAGGGTATTTCATGTGGAAAAAGGGGCTTAGACAGGGAGACCCAATGTCGCCTTATCTCTTTACGTTAATCATGGAGGTTTTTAACCTTATGATCAAAAGGCGCATACAACAGAGTCCAAAACACAAGTATCAATGGAGGTGCGGGAAGCAAAAACTAACTCATCTTTATTTTGTTGATGGTCTGTTAATTTTCAGCCATGGGAGTATTCAGGCAATCCAGGTGGTCAAAGATTCTTTACAGGAGTTCCAGGCAGTGTCGGGCTTGATCCCTAATCCTCAAAAAAGTTCGATTTTTTATGGCATGATCAATGATGTTTTAAAAGCCCAAATTTAGAATATTTTGGGTTTTGAGGAAGCAAAGCTCCCTGTTCGGTATCTCGGTATTCCTTTGATTGGGACTAGAATGCTTGTCAAGGATTGCAACAAACTTGTGCAGCAAGTGAAAGCGAGAGTTCAGAATTGGAAGCATAGAGCTCTGTCATTTGCAGGAAGACTTCAACTCATTAATTCTGTGCTCCAATCCCTACAGGTTTATTGGTGCTCGGTTTTACTACTTCCCAAAACAACCATTAATGACATCAAAAAAGTATTTAAGGGTTTCTTATGGAATGGTGGCTACCTGAAGAAAGGAAGTGCTAATATTGCTTGGAAAATGGTGTGTAGACCTAAAGACGAAGGAGGATTGGGAATTTGCAATTTACAGACTTGGAATGAAGCTCTTCTATATCGTCAGATTTGGAGACTTTTTACTACAAAAAACTCTCTATGGGTTGATTGGGTTAAAATCCATCATCTTAGAAAACAAACTTTTTGGGAGGTTAAAAGAAAGGATCTAGAAGGCTTCTCCTGGTCTAATATGCTTTCTTTGCGAGATAAAATCTGGAAACACATATGGAGAATACTCGGGGATGGAACTAGCATAAATTTATGGTATGACAATTGGCATGCAGGTGGCCCATTGATCAATATCATAACGGAAGATGAGAGGAATATGCATGGGCTATCCAATGACTTCACCTTGCATCAGTTTTGTAGTAATCATAGCTCGTGGTGGCCTTGGGGATGGGGATTTCGTTTTCCTATTATCCAACTTCAGGGTCTCCTTAGTCTTCAAATTAACAAAGATGATGGGGTTTATTGGTGGGACCTGGAAGGAAGGAAGGTTAAGTTTTCTCGTACTCAAGTTTGGAAGGATATTAGGATAGCTAGCCCGGTTGTTTCTTGGTATAAGGTAGTTTGGTTTAAGCTCAACATACCAAGCCATGCTTTCATTCTTTGGCTAGCCATTCATGATAGATTAATGACTCAGGAACGAATGCAAATATAGAAAAACTCGGTGAACCTCTAGTGTTAGCTTTGCAAGATGGTGCCTGATTCGACGACCCATCTATTTTTTGAATGTCAGTATTCGCGTGAGGTTTGGACTAAAGTGTGTGATATGTGTAACATCCAAATCCCGGATTTCAGGTTGAAACAAATAATCGAGTATCAAATATCGCGCCTTCAAAGTAATCACATACAAAGAGACATTAAGAGACTTGCTCTGGCTACCACGATCTATTTTATTTGGAAAGAGAGGAACTCTCTCCATCACAATGGAACCACAGTTTCTTAAGCAAAACTTGTGACTGAAGTTTTCAACACTTTGAAAACTCGATTATGTGGAGTTCCCCTCAAATGGTCTGCCCCTATGGAAGAAGTGTACAAAAGATGGAAAATCCCAAGGCCTAGCAATTGGCCCCCAATCAAAGAGAATGGTCACGGTGATTAATACCGTTTACAGGTCGTGGTGTATCTTCGACGATCTAGTCTTATGGCTTGTGGCCTTTATGAGTATTAGTATTTTTCTGTGTGATTTTCTTACTTATGTTGCGGTTTGGGGTCCAACAAATGGCAAAACTCTTTGTTAGGTGGTTTGTCCATTCTAACTTGTACTGTATTTTTTCCTATAATTTCATTATTTTAATGCATTTACTGGAGGCGTTGCCCTCTTTTCCAAAAAAAAAAATATTTCTCATATTAGATAGTAATATAATTTACGGCTACAGTGGGTCTACCATTGTTCTGATAACAACTCACCCTCCTGATTGTGTTGTTGTTACTGTTCCGATAGCAGCTCCTCTTGCTGTTGCATTGATGTTCACTGCCCCAACAGCTTTTGAAGTTGCTTCTTCTCGGATGCCTGGTGGTGTGAATAACATTTCTAATGGGTTCAAGGGTGATTTCAGGCAGTACAATAAAACAAAACCTGTAAATTTTTTTGATAGTTTTGGTAGAATTTCGGGGTCAATGTTTCTAAAGATTCTATTTCACACCTCGAGGTTTTCAAAAAAATTTCAATCTAATTTTGGAGGAATTGTATGTCTGTCGGTCGGTTCTTTTACAAACGAACTTCAAAAGGAAGAGTTTAAAAAAACTGTTGAAATGGGGGAGGCGGTTGGTTATGATATGAGTGGGTTTCATTCTTGTGTTTAAGATTTATTTGAAGGTCAAGGGGAGAGAAAGGGGTATCCAAGAATTGTCATTCGATTAATATTCAAGAAGCAGGTAATTTAGATTAGATGGTGTTGGTTAGATCCTTATCTCATAAGAATAAGGTGAGTTTTTGGGTGATTTAGGAGACGAAATTAGAATATATATATATATATATATATATATATATATATATATATATATATATATATATATATATATATATATATAGATGGATTTTTTTGGTTCGTTCGTTTTGGGGTAATATTTCTTTTATGCATGATTTATCGCCATCTCGTGGAGCGTCGGGTGGGATTTTACCTATATGGTATCTAGGTCGGATTCGTCACACTTGTGTCGTGATTATTTATTGGTTTGTTGCGGTTAAGGTTGTGTGGATTTTGGCTAGGTTAGATGTCTTGTTTATTACTATTTATGCCCCTCAAGAGCTTGATGGCAAGAAAAAACTTTAGATGGAGCTCGTTTCTTTGATTGGTTCGTTCATCGGGGAATGTGTTCTTATAGGGAGTTCAATGAAGTCTGGGATGAGTAAGAGAGGTTGGGGTCACAATTTCATCCTACTTCTACTACAAATTTTAATCAGTTCATTGAAGATGCAGAGTCGTCTGATATTCAATTGGGTGACCCACACTTTATGTGGTATGATAGGCATGGTTTGAAGTTTAGTAATTAAGCTCGATCGGTTTTTGGTTTCAGATGGGATTGTCGAGAGTTTTTTTTGCATCTTATAGGTATGGTTCTTGAGAAAAACTCTCGGATCAACGACCTACTCTGTTGTTGGAGCACATGGTGGATTATCATCCATCTCCTTTCTGATTATATCACTCTTGCTTCGAGATGGTTGATTTTGATCAAGTTGTACGAAATTATTGGTCTCGGTCTTTGGAGGGTGTCGAGAACTGTAACATCCCAAAAATCAAGGAAATTTTTTCATTTAAATCAAATAAAATCATTGTTTTCAAATACCATCCAAATTAAAACCATTCATTTATAAAACATTGTTCTCAAAAATAGAAATCATATATCAGAGTGTCCCCAAATCAGTATCATCAAAACCAAGAGGATGTGTACGATCACGCCTTCGCCTTGTCCCGATCATCTGAAGTCCCTGAAACATAAAACTGAAACTGTAAGCACGAAGCTTAGTGAGTTCCCCCAAAGTACCACCACACAGATAGATAACATATACAATCAGGCATGTTGGGTCCACAACCTCCCGGTTGTATTACCCTGGCCCACAACCTCCCGATTGGATTTCCATACTTATCATATACTGGGTCCATAACCTCCTGACTGGATTACCCTGGTCCATAACCTCCTAGTTGGATTGCCACATATATCATATACTCGGTTCACAACCTGTCGGTTGGATTACCTTGGCCCACAACCTCCCGGTTAGATTGCCCCAGGTTTGTTGACTAGCAGCACAAAGCAGTATAATCTCAACCCAACCGCACTATGTCCACATATGCATCAGATAAACATATAACCATTCAGCAGACAAACAAGCAGATCTACAGATCACTACCGTATAGAAACATCCTATATACCAGGATACAGATCACTACAGCATAACAACATCCTATATACCAGGATACATAACCAAGTGGGCCGGCATTGGTGCCATCAAGGCATCAACCCACAGTACAGTGAGGAAAACTCAACATCTCGGTCTGAAAAGATTGCTGAACAGGATATTGCTCAGAATATCATCTCTATTGGTCACATATTAATTGGAACATAACCAAACTTAACTTATAATCAAAGACCCCTAAGTCAAACCTGGTCAAAAATAGGTGAATGTCAAAAAGTCAAAAGTCAATCCGAGTCAAATCAGCTGAGTACGCCCAACATACTCAGCTTGTACGCTTATCGTACTCGAGCCTTGACCATAAACGGGGTCTTTGACCTCGTACACGCAGCGTACCTAGGGTATGCCCAGTATACTTAGTTGGTTCTTTCCCTTCTATTAAGAGCTTAATTCCTTAAGCTCTTTGGTCCAAATTCCATATCTAGTCCTCAAATGTTGTTCTTATACATAAAGTTTCCAACTTTATGGTCTTACATGGATATTAACTGCTCAATAGCAAAAACCCTAACTTTTAAACTCATTAAGACATCCTAGCTCATGCATGGAAGGGAACTAATGACCAAGGTTACATTTTTTTGTTTTTAATGTTCCTATAATGGATAAAAGTTTTAATCTTTATCTATTAGAATGGTCCCAACAACCAAGATCTTGTCTTTAAGTCTCAAAGGGACCAAAAGTGCATCTTTTCCAACTTAATCCATTAAGTCCAAGTCTCCAACCTTCAAATCTGAATCAATATGATGTTTAGATGGATAAAGTTTCCAACTTTATCCATAACAAGGTCACAAACTTTCAAGATCTAAACTTTATGTACTAAAATGGGCAAAATCTCATAACACCCAAAAATAGATAGATGTAACAAATGCATCATCAAGATTCAAGCTTTATACCTCCAGAAGAAAGATCAAGGTGAACAAGGCCTGGATCTACAAGCTTCAATGCAACTAACATGTCTCCAATGAGCTCCTTCTTCTCCAAGATGCACCAAGAACACTCCAAAGCACCTAAAAACATTCTTTTTGCTCACAAAGCTAGAACTAGGGTTAGGGTTTCAAGGAAGTACGTTGAAGGGGTGGAGGTTGAGAATGGAAAGGATTTGGGGGAGTTAAGGAGCTTAAATAGGGCTCAAAACCCTCAAATTATGGTTTGGCATCTGATCGCGTACGCCCAGCGTACGCTTGGTACTCCCAACGTACTAGGTTGGGCCTCCATGATTGGTCTTGTCTAGTATGCCCAACATACGCAGCTTAATCCAAAACCGTCCTAACTTCAAACGATCATAGCTTCTTCGGTCCAACTCCGATTTCAACAATCTATATATCCATGGAAAGATGTTGAGGAGCCCCACAATATTATGTAAATTTCTTGGACTAAAAACTTCTCGAACAAAAAAATCCATATGTCATGCAAGAACCTGACTTATGACTTTTCCCTTTTCACCCTTCGGCCCAAAACACAATTCAAGGGTTAAATATATTAACTATCATTACCTCCTTCCACAAGGACTAAAATTTTCCTCTTTAAGGCCCAAAGCCTTACACAATCGACTTTCGGACCATAGCCTAGAAATGGCAGGAAACAGGATGTTACAAGAACCTGTGGGTTACTTTAAATAAGAAGTTATAGCTTCTTAAATATAATTTACGGTTGTGGAATTCTTCTTCTAGAGTTTGTTTGGAGGGTAGAAAACGGGAGATTCGATCTCAAATTGATTTGCGTGATGCTCGTCTTGTGGATGATGACGGTGATGATGTAGTCAAAGAGTAGCGGATTACCTTGGTTAAGGAGATGGCGAATTTTGATCATATTTGTTAAGTTTACTTAGCTCAAAAGGCTAAGGTTTAGTGGGGTATCAGGGGAGATCCAAATTCTAGTTTTTTTCATGGAGTTTTGAAACATAAGAGATGTTAGTTGGCTATTCAGGGTATTCTAGTATATGGTGTGTAGGTTGATGAGCATGCCAGGGTGAAAGATGAGTTTCAAGTTTATTATCGATCCTTGTTCTCTAATCAACGTGGAAGACACCCAATGACTGATTCCAGACTTTTTTATTCCATGACTGATTCTCAGGTTCAGTTTTTGCAGGCTTTTTTTTCTCATGATAAGATTAAGAGAGCGGTGTGGGATTGTGGTTTGAAAAAATCCGCTAGTCATAATGGTTTTTCCTTTGCCTTCCTCGAGATTTAATGGGATGTTGTAGCTAATAATATGGTGACTTTTGTTACGTATTTCCATGGTCAGCC